ACCAATGCAGCTGGTTTCATACAAATAAGAGGCCTTTAACTGCAATACTGCAATATCATCCATTCAACACTATTTCCAGATTTATATTTGTCTCAGAACAATTCTGGCCTATGCATTTTCTTCTACAGGGCAGATGGTATAGATGGGGACAAGGGCAAGAGAAAGGATGGCTTGGTAGTCTGGGGCTGACGCAAAAAAAGTAGCGGAACGGGTGGTGGGCGCTGCATTGAGTGTGGTGATAATAGGGGTGGAGGGGCTGGTATTGGTGGTGGCGATGGTATAGCTGGTGGAGGTGGTATAGGTGGTGGAGATGGTATGAGTGGGGGAGATGGAATAGCTGGTGGAGGCGGTATGGGTGGCGGAGATGGTATGGGAGGTGGATGAGGTATGGGGGTGGAGATGGTATGGGAGGTGGAGATGGTATGGGAGGTGGAGATGGTATGGGAGGTGGAGATGGAGAGGTGGATGGTTGGTGGTGGAGATGGTATGGGTAGGGGTGATGGTATGGGTGGAGGAGATGGTATGGGCAGAGGGGGTGGTATAGACTGTGGTGGAGGTATAGGAGGTGGAGACGGTATGATAGGAGGTGGGGGTAGTATTACCTTTAGCATTGGTATTGATGGTATGGGTGGTATGGGAGGAGGAGGTGGTATGGGGGCTGGATCAGGTATAGGTGGTGGAGATGGTATAGCTGGGGGAGGTGGTATTAATGGTGGGGATGGTATAGCTGGGGGAGGTGGTATCAATGGTGGAGATGGTACAGCTGGGGGAAATGGTACTGTAGGTGCATGAGCTATTGATGGTGGAAAGGGTATTTTCGGATGCAAAGGTATGGGTATTGGTAGAGGAGGTAGGACTGTTGTCAGTGATGTGCATCCAAGAGAGGAAGCTTCCGGAGAATGTGCTGATGGAGAAATGGGCAGGGAAGCCAAAGTTGGAAGTGAGAGATGAGAATCGGTCAGAGCTTTACAAGAGGTTGGCAATCGTGCTGGAAAAGACCTTAGTGGTGGCAGTGGTGTGAGGGGTGGAAGATCAGTTAGTGGTGGAAGTGGAGGAAGTGGTGGAAGGGGTGGAAGTGCAGGCAAAGGTGGAAGTGAAGGCAAAGGGAAGAGGGAGGCGCAGCGGTGGCAAAGGTGGTACTGGTGGCAGAGGTGGCAGTGGGGGGAGGGGAGGTAGTGGTGGCAGGCGAGTTCGTGGTGGTAAGAGGGGTGTGGGTGGTAGAGGAGCTATCACGGGTAAGGGCGGCAAAGGAGGTAAGACTAGTCTGCGAGTTGGAATTTTCCTGGTAGCTGTAGTGGAGGTTGAGGAAGGGGAGGAGGAGGAGAAGGAGGAAGATAAGAATGAGGAAGAGGGAGAGATGAGAGGAGAGGAAGATGAGGAGGAAGGAGAGGATGAGAGGAGGATGATGGGGAGGAGGAAGATGAGAATGGGGAGGAAGAAGATGAGAATGAGGAGGAAGAGGAGAGAGGAAAAGAAGATGAGAGGAGGAGAGGAAAGGAGGAGGAGGAGGAGGAGGAGGAGGCAGTAGGAGGAGGAGGAGGAGGAGGAGGCAAAGTAGCAGAGGCATGGGTGCACTCAAAACATGAGATGATGTACAGAAAGGGGTAACAGGAGGAGAACGGAACAGAGAGGAAGTGAAGATGATGTGGAAGCAAGAGCAAAATTTGCATGTGGGGAGGAGGAGGAGGAGGAGGAAGGAGGAGGAGGAGGAGGAGGAGGAGGAGAAATGATAAGTAGGAGAACGAGGAAGAGAATGAGAAGGAATTATGGAGGAGGAGGAGTAATAGTAGGAGCAGGAAGTAGAAGTAGAAGTAGAAGTAGAAGTAGGAGTAGTAGTAGAGTAGTGGTAGTGGTAGTAGTTGTAGTAGGAAGAAGGAGGAGGAGTAATAGTAGGAATAGGAGTAGGAGTAGAGTAGGAGTAGGAGTAGGAGTAGGAGTAGGAGTAAGTAGTAGTAGTAGTAGTAGAGTAGTAGTAGTAGTAGTAGTAGCTAGGAGGAGGAGGAGGAGGAGGAGGAGGAGGAGGAGGAGGAGGAGCAGGAGGAGGAGGAGGAGGAGGAGGAGGAGGAGGAGGAGGAGGAGGAGGAGGAGGAGGAGCAGGAGGAGGAGGAGGAGGAGTGGAAGGGAGGAGGAGTAGAAGGAGGAGGAATGAGGAGGAGGAGGAGAATGAGGAGGAGGAGGAGAGGAGGAGTAGTAGTAGTAATAGCAGTAGTAGTAATAGCAGAAGCAGAAGCAGCAGCAGCAGTAGTGGTAGTAGTGGTAGCAGCTGCAGCACCAAGAGGAGGAGGAGGAGGAGGAGGAGGAGAGGAGTAGAAGGGGGAGTAGAAGAGGGAGGAGGAGAATGAGGAGGAGAATGAGGAGGAGAGGAGGAGGAGGAGGAGGAGGAGGAGGAGGAGGAGGAGGAGGAGGAGAGGAGGAGGAGGAGGAGGAGAGGGTGGAAGAAGGTACAGCAAAACAACTAGGAAAACAAAAAGCATTAGAAAAAGGAGTAACAGAGGAAAGGGATGAAAATCAAACATATTGCCAGTTATGTTGGCAGAGCCAGTGGTGGCATTGGCAGCATCTGAGTTGACATCTTTCCTGCAGCCTCAAGACAATGCAGCCAGCTAGCCCACCTCTCCTGCTGCCATCGTGACAGGAGAGCCAACAGAGAGAGTGACCTGCAACACCGAAACCAACAACAGAGTATAACAAATAGTAGTGCTGTTTTTGTTAAATCGGCAACTTTCACAACATGAAAGAGTACAGAAAATAAGAAAAGGAAATGCCAAAAATTTTCACTCTAGTGTTGCTAACTCCGAAACAGATTATGGGGAAATTCTGAACAGGGGTTTCTCAAAAATTATAGACAAAACAACCTTTTCTAAAAATTTTATTACCTTTTACATCAGAGATCTTAATAAGGTTATATGAAAAAAAAAAAAAAAATGCCTGATATATAAAACAGAATGATACTAAAATCTATATGCATACTTATATTCACCTACATGAATGACAAAATACTACCATGTTGATACAGCAAAAAAGATATCATATACAAGATATGTTTAGGGGAAGATGTTTGTACATTCATATTGATATTTCTCGCTATGTTGTTTGTGTTCTTTATCTTTCTTGTAATTATCATTTAGGCTACTGCATATCATTGCTGTTATCTAAAGATAACCTATAAACACAACTTTCCATTCAACTTATCCTTTCTCTGTGACTGTGTAAGCACTTTAATATAAAGAAAAATATACAAGAAGTTTTCAGACAAGACAATAAAAGTATGCCGCAAGAAATTGCAGGAGTAAACTATAAAAAAAACAATATCACCATTAAACCACATAAATATTAGTGCTGACTGAGGCAATTTACTCATTTTTAAACAACTTTGTTCTAGTTTATACATTTATTGACCAAAAAATAAAATACTATGATACATTGGTTGGTCATTACCAACAAGGTACAAAAAGAAGGAAATAAAAGAAGAAAAAGAAAAAATAATAACTAGAGTAATTTGCAGTGGAATTGGGATGCTATTATGAGAGAGAAAAAAAGTGGCTATTTGGTCCTACTGGAGCAATTGTGGACCTTACACACATCTTGTAACCCAATTAGCCATTTTGATAAAACAAAAAAATAAACTTTTTACTGACCATAAAGTATTAGCAAATAAATAAACAGATGATTATGTTTTTTATTTTCCAACCTCCTGTTTTACCTTTACTGTCTGATACTCCCAAAAGTAAGAGTAATTTCATCATTTTCATGTTTATTTTCTTCTGGCGCTTTTTTCTTTCTATAGCCATTGCATTTCTTTGCGTTGTATTGAATATCTTCCTCTCTCTTTTCAACTTCCTGATCATTTGTCAAAGCACTTGGTTCAGGAATGCTTCTCCTGCATAAAGGCTTTATCAGAGCACCATCTGTTGCACAAGCTTCCTTTGGGCAGGTAGTAACTGCTGCTGCAAGGATAGATTTATATCCCAACACAGGAGATGGGTTCGTGTCATGTGTCTTTGACATTGATAGGATTGGTGTTGAAGTTGCTGTAAAAGCTAGTGGTTCAGGTTTATGGGATGACACAACACTGGCAACCTTGTGCCTGCAGACATTTTATAAATTTTGAGGAGAGAAGGGTTGAATGCCCCTTTATCATACTTCAATGGCTTTAGGAGATATACTCCAGTCTTCTTAAACCTTGACATTGTCTGGGCTGTGAAAACATCTTTTCTAACTTTAGAAAGCAATTCTCCAAAGCCACACTTAGTTAAACACCTTTCTTGGTTCTTTCTTTGGTATTTATGAACAGCAGCATCCCATTTTACTTTAAAAAGCCTGAAGCATGCCACATCTAATGGCTGTAACTTGTCAGTTGTATGAGCTGGTAGTTTTAAAAGTTATATTCTCAGTAGAAGCTAACTTTAACGCATCCACTTGCACGAGTGGTGTGTCCATCATATATCAATAAAATTGGTCTCTGTGTAACTAATCTAACTGTTTAATCCAGTCAATTAGAGGTCATCTAAACATTTTCAGACACCATACTTAGTATTTGGGTCCACACTATTAGATACCCAGCTTGACTGAAATTCATTTTCTTTAAAAACAACTAGTGGAGGCAGAACTTCAGCTCCTACAGACACCGCAGTCATCACTATGTAGCACTCTCGTCCAGATGTTGTGGTTCTACTAACAGCTCAAATACCAACTAGTGACACTACTTTCATTTGCATTGCATCTGTGAAACAGCTTTTTGCATCTGCATTCCAGATGCATTCAGGATTATTAACAATCACATGCCTTTTCATCTCACTCTCAATAAGACTGCAAAATCCATAGATTACATCTAGATCACTTGCTGCACTTTTCCTCACCTTTTTTTAGTACTGATTCTTTTTTCACAGACATTATACCCAGTCTTTTCCTGGCTAATCAACTTTGAATCTACAATATTTTCTTAGATATTCACTGGCTCCACTATCATCCTCCTTCTTAGCAATGGCACATTCTTGTAC